CGCTTCATCTCAGATTTTTCTTGTATTTGGCTGTTTTTCGCTGGTGACAGCAGTTTTTCTTGAAATTCTACTTTATCTTGAGTAGAGAAAACCAGAGAAACACTTGGAAATCCAAGTGTTTCCTATCAAGTTCCTTGCAATAATCTTGCTGATTTTATAGGATTGGAATCTCTCTCCCTTTCTCTATTTCAGACGCTAACTTTCATGATCAATGACCTCTATAAACTCTTGTCCCTTCTAAAGTGATGCAACTCCAACCACATAATCAAGAAGTCATAATCATCTATTATGATTTTCTACATCCTTTTGTAAATACAAAATATGATTGTTCTTTAAATTTCAATAGTGTACTAAGTAATTCATTTGTTTAATCACTTAACATTTAATATCCGTCTAGTGTTTTTCTATCTTAGCTCACAAATGCCAAAGGAATTTTCCAAAACATTTACATTTCTCACTCCTCAGGAGAAATCCTTAAGAAAGGCATCTTCATCATTCTCCATGGTGGTGATGATTGTGGTTATGGTTATGATCCTATCAGCCCATGGATAAGGCTTTCCTCCCTCGCCATGTTTTTATTTCTGTTACTTTCACCCCTATTTTGGATCCTCTTTAATTACTACGTTAACTATGCTGTGCAGTTGACCTATCCAGTCATACAATTTGCTTTGGGCTGTTGGAACCATGAATTTGTTGTTTTTTTTGGTCTACATTGTAGGTAATGTAGCATTCATTATAGACATTTTGTAAGGAATTCCTTTTAGAAATTTTGTGTTACTTCATAATCATGCGTTGCTAGTTAAAATTGTTGTGGAAATCATTGCTTTAGGCTGTTATCGTTGATTAGGGTTTACATGTACACAATGAGATCATTGATCTTTCTCTCTTGTGAGTAAATTGCTTATAAAATTTGTCCGTATTTTGAAGTTTTATGTTGCACGGAGGAGTGATGCTTTTAGTTGGGGCCTTTTTTAATATCTTTCTCATCGAGGCTATGATGACGATGGCTTATGCATCCCTCAACTCATCAGTCATGGATAAGAAATTTCTGTGGTCCTTTTAGTGTGAGTGTGTTTTTTGGTTTCTCTAATAGTGGCGAGGCATCAAGGATGGCCTCGAGAGGCTACTGGCTCTTATCCAACATTTTAGGCTTTTATGGCTTAAGTTGAGAGATTAAGGTAGACTCTTTCCTGTCTACTTTTTCTGTGATGTTTTATTTACATCATAGAGGAATACACAAGGCTTTTTTTGGGGCAAAGAGATGGCAAAATCCATTCAGTTACTATGATGGATAATTACGAACAAAGACAAAATTTCTACTCAATACAATAAAAAATAAGCTCTTGAGCTACAACAAAAAATCAACAATGCTCAAGATAAGATATTTGAATACAAATAGGAGAAACATGAAATAGCAAAATGCATTAGACTCTGAAGGGTCAAAATTGTCCAAAATGGAATCTTTTAGAGATCAAAATAAGGACCCCAGTTGCCATGTAGGTTATCCATGGGCTGCTGGCAAAGGCGAAAGGGATAAGTCCCATCATTCATCTTTGTCCAGGTGGGCAAAACTAAGAGAGAATCTCACCGTAATCCCAAGTGTCTAGTTTTTGAAGCAATGGCCTTTTTGATGATTTGAGATGGTGTGGAAAACAATAGATCAAACAAAGCATAATTAACTCAAAATTGTAGCATCACTAGATAAGCAAAGACAAGTTTTCAAAACATACATGAAATAATTTTATAAAGCTAAAGATGACAACAATGACGGCAAACTCCAAGAAATGCT